CTCAATGACCCAAAGTCATAAATATTTAACAGACATATGCCAGTAACTCAGTTCAAATGGCAGGTCATTTCTCCACCTTCCCTCAGAAAAGCCTTGGAAACAAGAGTCAGGAAGCCTTTCAAAGCATCCAGACTGGGTACCATCCCTCTAACCTGCATACTTCCTCATGCACCCAAGCACCATGAGTGGAACTGGATGAGTATGTATGGACAGTGCTGTACAGCAGAAGCAAAAGTAAAGGAAACATTTGGCCAAAATTGCACAGTGATGAGCTGTGGTGGTTTCAGACACAAGCAAATCCAGTTGTTGAGGAGGTGACCAAGCCTCAGGAAGAGAGGACTGTAGCAGCATACCATGCAAGCTCAACTCAGGTCAAAGCACTCGTTATGTCATGTACTGACTTGCACAGATCCAGCTTCCTACCTGAGCAAATGCCCAGTAAGCCAGCAGCCCAACCAACAGTCATAGAACATTTTACTAAAAATCTGTCTGGGAAATGAGCAGTGCCATGACCAACCATAGGGTACTGGATAGGATAGGGTAGGATAGGATAGGATAGAAGCTGCTGAGTTTTAAGTCCCTGCCCCTGTTGCAAGGGTTCTCTAGAGATGGGGCATTTTTTTCTGCAGGTAGATTAAATAACTCAGGTGCTCTATGTGTTATTCAAGTACCCGCAAGGGCCAAACAGAAGGACGCTGCATGTCTCTGCAAAGGACTGGAAATTACCCTCTCATTATACTCAAAGTTAACAGAGTAATAAAACATTCAACTACGATAGTAACAGGGCAAGCAGGAAGAAGAAACAACATTCTTCCTCTCCCCGAATTTACCATCTCTCTACCTTTGTTTTTAATTGATCTGTGCTAATGTGTCTTCAGGTTTTCAAACACAGTGCAAAGGCTTGAAGAGGGGAAGGTAAAAAATAAAGAGGAATGAGCTTAAAGTGAACAACAAGGTTACATACTTTTAAAATGTGGTTAAAAAAAGGCAGTGCCATTTTGTGGAAGCAGGAGACACATGCTTTTTTCCATTTTGTCCATGACCAGGCCAAAGCATGCAGAAGCTAAATACATAAAACACTAGTGCACAGAAGTGACTACAGCCATTTGTGTACTCTTTCTGTAGACTTGCTTCATTTTTCTACAAAATAACTTTCTGCAAGTAGGCTGGTGTGTTTGAAACCCATCTGGGGAAAAAAAATGGTCATGTGATGAAAAGGACAGACAGTCATTGCCAGGAGGTGCCTTCATTATTCCCTCCTTGGATTTGTTAATTGTGTAGGACCCTTTTCCTCCCGCCCCCCCCTTCCTTCCTCTTGCTCTGTTCCAGGCAAATGTTGAAAAAATTGTTTACTTGTCTCCTAAATACAGTTAAGGAAAGAAAACCACTTGAATGCAATATCCTGCAAAATTTCATTAATCTCGTATGTCCTCTGTCTTTTCCTGGTTCAATATAACGTTTTGTCTAGCTGTAAGTTATTGATATAAATATTCCTTGCAGCCTGCAGTTATCCCTCAGCTCCTTGGTGCCCCATCACAGAGAAAGACTGAACTTCATCCTAATTTAATAAAGAAAGAAGTTTATGCATAGTCTAGTCCTGAACTTTACCCATTGCAGCATTTAAGGCCCCACCTGGAATACTGCGTCCAGTTCTGGAGCCCCCAACATAAGAAAGACATGGACCAGTTAGAACAAGTCCAGAGAAGGGCCACCAGGATGATCCGAGGGCTGGAGCACCTCTCCTAGGAAGACAGACTGAAAGAGTTGGGGCTGTTCAGCCTGGAAAAGAGAAGACTCCGGGGAGACCTTATAGTGGCCTTCCAGTACCTGAAGGGGCCTACAAGAAAGCTGGGGAGGGACTTTTCATAAGGTCAGTTAATGACAGAACAAGGGGAAATGGGTTTAAGCTGAAAGAGGGGAGGTTTAGATTAGATATTAGGAAGAAGTTCTTCACTGTGAGGGTGGTCAGACGCTGGAACAGGTTGCCCAGAGAAGCTGTGGATGCCCCCTCCCTGGAAGTGTTTAAGACCAGGCTGGATGAGGCTTTGAGCAACCTGGTCTAGTGGAAGGTGTCCCTGCTGATGGCCGGGGGGTTGGAACTAGATGATCTTTAAGGTTCCTTCCAATCCTAACCATTCTATGATTCATTCTATGATTTATGAGACTTCCATGCAGTAGGCTTAAAACAAAATACAGACTATCTTTATCTTTGTTACCTACATGTTTAATGACTGCTTGTGAACTTACAAAAATAATGTTATACAATTTAATACCAATCAAATAGAATTAGGAACACACAAGGACTCCTGATTCTCTTTGAAAAGATCTAGTTTCTGCACATACAGACAAACAATTCAACTGCTTGTTTGAACATGTTAATATTGCTACCCTGCAAACTGTTAGGTTTTTAGGGGGTTTTTTGTTTGGGTTTTTTTCAGTTGTGTTTTGGTTTTTTTGTTTTTTTTTTTTTTAAATGAAGTACTTAGTTTTTCTATTACTCAGTATAGGAATTCCTACTGATAGCCATCAGGACAAATCTCAGAAGTCTGAGTACATAGCTAACTTGTAATCACATCTCCTAGATGTCCATAAATACCTCTGAAAATTCTCAGACGGTAAACTAGTACAGCACACATGTCCAGGCACCTTCCAGCCGGAGTTACAACATGCTGGAGCTCAGGGACATTTCAAAAATATTCATTAATATTTCTAGAATATCTGACTTGACAAAATGCAAGTTAGATTTTTCAAAGGCTGCCAACTTTCTCCCCTTGGTGATGGACCAAGCACAAATGGTAACTCATTACCTTCCAGCGTCTACTAAATTGTTGTTTCTAGAAGTTAAGATACGATTAATTAAATCTCCTTTTACATCCAGTTCCAATAAAGGCACCGGTATTTCCAGATATATGAAGAACTTAAGTGCACTAGAACAAATGGGAATTATTTGTAAGGCTCCAGCTTTACTAAAATAAAAAGGTATTCTTTTTCTGGAACTCTTGCATTGATGTAAACCAATTAATTCACTAGGCCAAAGCATGACAATGTTTTCCAGTTATACTGGCCTTACACTCCAACTTCTGCAAATTGAAAAAAAAAAAAACCTCAGCTGCTCACATCCCTTTTCCGCACACAGAAAAGATTGTCTGCACTATGTTCAGCCCTGAGCCCTTTCAGGCAAAGGAAAAGGCAAACAGGAATTCTGTTCCTGAGACCATTTTGTGACATTCCATTAAAAGGGTCCCAGAAAAGAGCAATCTGCTTTCCCCAGTCACAAAGCAAACACCTCAGACTTCAGCAGCAGAAAGGAAATACCACCCAGATCAACATCCATAGCCCTAAGCTTTTACTATCTTTTGTTAAAGCCAACACTGTTTCACTTATTTGGGCTTTAAAGCAACTCCAAGTATTGTTTTTATGCACCATGCATAATACCCAAATAGTGGGAGCGTATCTCTCTTTATTGAAAGGATTGTAGTATGCAGCATGCACAATGGGCTGCAGTTTCTTTTCATGACACGAAAAAGCAGGAATAACCTGTATCAATGACTTTCTGCCAGCTTCTAAAAAAATTAACAATATGAGTTGGAAAGGTAGATTTCCTCACTTGAGGGGGCCTGAAATCACTTGAGGATCTGTCCCAGCAAAAGTGGTTCTCAGTCTCTTCCATTCTGAAGTTGCAGCATAAACTTCAGTGTGCTTATCAGTATGAATTGTCTCTCTTCAGATTTACTTGCTCTACTACACCACCAGGACCTCTTGAAATGTAACAGTTTTGTTTCTATTACATCCCACTATATTTGCAGTTTGTGTTTTGTTTATGGAAAACTAAAAAAAACCAAACCAAACCCAAAACACCACAAAAAAACACAACAAAACAAAAACTCAAAAAAAAAAAAAAGAGCATGCAAATACACTGGATTTATCACTCCCCCTTTGGAAATGCCCCCATTCTTCAGAATCAAAGTAAAAATTTTGCTGGTTAGGACATTCTCTGAGAGTGACTGCACACATGCAACATAGTCCAGTGGACTCCTGCCACACAATGCAGGCAATGAAATCTTGCTGACTTTCAGTGTGGTCCCTTCTCTGATGTGCTTGGCTAAAACTCCAGCCTGAATGTTCAAGTCTCCTCTTGACTCTCCTAGTTCAGAGCTTGGGGTAAGGCAACTACATCAATATTCTAATTTAATTAGAAAGCAGACTAATGATCAACACATCAGAGCGCCACAGATTAGAGTTGGATTAAATGCAAAGGCAAAAATATATTGAAATGCTTTTGAATTAAATTCACCTTTAAACCTTTATTTAAAATTAGCCTCTGGGCTTCATTTCAGAGAATAAGTTTTCAGCCTCCAGAAAAGCATAATGCATTATAAGCCTAGGTGGTAGGAAGTAAGTATTTGAAATAAACAAGCTGTTAGGACAAGTACATTCTCCAGTTATTAAAAGACTGGAAGCCAGATCTGCAAATACCTGCAACTAACTACTTGACATTGTTATTCTTCAAGAATAAGTATATGCTTCTCATGTGTAACTTCATAGACTCCTTATACTTAACATTATTCTTGACTCCAAGCACATCTCACTTTGACAGACAAAAGTGTTAGCATGGGATTTACGCTTCTCTCGGTATCTTCTCAGTCAACGCTTTCAGGTGTCTTTCCACACTCCAGAATTAAATGTTTAGTTCCTTACGTGCCATTTCTTACTCTTGGATATCAGAAGGTCTACAGTGATGCTTCTCCATACACATCCGGATCTTTTGTCTTCCAGCATGAAAAAAGCTGAATGCATTTTCACAAACACTGCAGAGTTGGCTTCAAGTATTCAAAAGTGAAGAAATCTTCACAGCAATGCAAGGATGATGCTGACAAAGACCTGTCGAATAGACAAGGATACATACCTTGCTGAACAATGGCACTTCATTCCCTGTGCAGAAATGGAAAGTTTACTTCATTTAAGTCTGTCTGAAATTTCAGTGTAAATAAGAGTTCTCTTCAAACTGTTTCAAGAACAGCTGCCATTTCCTTGAACTGTCTGAAGAAGTTCTAAAAAACAAGAGTTAAAATAAATTTCAGTTGCTTGAAGAAAAACTATAGCTCAAACTAGCATGTTCAACAAAAATCACAATCTACATTTCTCACATTCCTTCCTTCCTCTAGTTACAATTTGCAGCTTGAACTGAAAGTTTCTGCTTTTCTTTTTGTGGGCCAGTTGGCACTTGGGCATATTTACTATTAAATCTACACAGGTGATGACTTATTTGCCTGGGTTTGCCTATTAATAGTAGAAGATGCTATGAAGGAAAAATACAAAGTAGGTCTCATCACAACAAAAAAACCCCACCAAAAAACCTTCTTACACAAATGTTTCTATTCCCATCTTAAATAATCCAGGCTTCTCAAGTATAGCATCCTTTTCTTACAGAAGCTGAACAGCAAATTATTAAATAGGTTTCAACCAGAATGAAGAAAACATTTCATAACACTTAAAGATTCAGAATATCCTTCTCAAATTCCTGCCAGTCCAATTCCAAGGATTTCTTTATTTGTAAGCTTGTACGATATTCTTCAGTGATGCATTTGCCCTTGAAACAGGAATGACAATGGAAGTGCCACATTTATGCAAAATTAAACAAAGTTACATAAGTTCACAGATGAAGATACAGCAATTAAAAGTCAGTGGTGACAAATTAGACTGACCTCCATTCCTAAGCATTAGCAAATGTTAGGCTTAACCCAAGCTTTAGATTTTGAGGCTGAGGAACAGTTCCATAGATTTAGAATACTCCACCTGTTTTTAGTAATGCAGAGTGACAGCTGACAAAAAAGATCCAAAAGTCTTTATGTCTTTAGTTGTTAGCTTATTTCTAAGGAGAACAGGTTTATTACTGCTAAATTAACATTTTCAGATAAGTGATATAGAACTAAATGCTATGAAAGAAGTATTTGGCTTCAGTGTTTTAAATAATTACTGCATGCTTCATCTTTGCATGACTATTAGTAAACAAGCAACACAAACGTATGCATCAAGGTATACAGTCACTCCTACACAACAAGGTCGCTGGTTTTTTTTATAGACTGAATCAAGTAACACTGATTACAGACCTGGAACTGTGGGATTGTCATTTCAAAAGATTTGTCTGTTATTTGTCCTGAAGGGTCTGCCACTTTTAGCGTCACTGTAACATAAGGATACTTCAGAGACCTGCAGGTGTCAGAGCTCATCGCAACTCCCAGCTTCCATTTAATATCTACAAACTTCAGAGAAGAAAATCATTGGTAACAGTGTTAAAGAAAGATCTAGCCTACCACTGCTGTTCTGTTGGATGGATGTTTTACAGACAATGTATGACATCTAGAGCTCAGATCCAAATGGGAAACAAACACACACATTCAGATATTATTATGAATATAAAATCATCTGCCTTTCCTTTTAATAGTGAAAAAATAAGCAATTTAATAAGTTACGTCACTTATTCTGTTTTCCTTATTCAAGGACTGTCAATAGTCAAGTAAAGTCTATTTAAAGTTCTAGTAAGAGGAGCTTGAGCTACAGAGTACACCTGGCTTGTATATTACTCATGCTTTTGTCATGGTTTTTTTAGAAGTTTCTAAATCAAGTGGAAACATGAGAAAAACCTCAGACAGTGCACAAAGAAATTATAGCAGCAATAATGGAAAAAAAAAAGAAGGCATTTTAGATAAATCAAAGTACATCATAAATACATCTGAGACAAGTAAGTTACCATTTTTACCCTTTTATGATAGGCAGGACTGTAAATAAAGAAGTGAAGAGAGCCTTTAGAAGCTTCCTATCAACCTTCAGACAAAGATTTTTTTTTTTTTTTGGCTACTTCCATACTCACATGAACTGCTGTTAGAAAAAAATTTCTTAGAACACAAATACACTCTGTGTTATTTTTTCAAAAAGGGAAAAAAATAAGAACACTGGAAACTGACAGAAAGTATCTTTAAAAAAAAAGTTTAAACATAAGAGGGACAAAGAATAAATCAACTGCTGGTGTTATGTACTCTAAAGAACAATTGAAATTACCTTTAATACAGGTTTACATAAACAGCTAATACAATTGTCTGCCACTCACCTTCCCTAAGAGTACTATGAAGCAGTCATTTTTAAAAAGCTATGAGATGTGACTTTACCTTTCGAGCAATAACATTAGAAAACTGTTCAGCATATAGACAACTTTTATATGCTTCATCTGGGTAGACATTTGGCAACGTGGAGAGAGAGAGAGGGGGGGGGGGAGGAAGGAAAGGGGGGGGAAAGCGTTTGCCAGTCAAGATACCAACATGTACTTGATGATACAAACATACACAATGAAGCACTGACATTTCTGAAAAGTTAATAGTTGGCTCAACTGCACTTTGTAATTTAGTTACCTGCCCCACCGTGGCCATGTTTTTTGCATCTTCTGACACACTAATGGACTTGCCCTGCTCATTCCACACGTGACGAATAACTTGAACTGCATGTTTTGGCAGCGCGTTGACTGCATTGCCCAAGGTGGTGACGAGTTCTTCCGTAGAGAGGTTGTTTCTGGCTGCTGTGCTATAGGAATATCCAAAGAACACCACATCAATTTCATTCCCCATTAATTTAATAACATTTCTCACTTCACCCCAAATAGGCAATTTTTTATTTCTGCTTTATGTGTCTATGTACTTTACAATAATTAAGCAGCCTGTGATTTTTTTTTTCAGCGTATCTTTCGTATCCATATGCAAAAAAAAAATATGACTTGACTTTTAATGTGTCTTAGTACGCAGAGACCAAGCTTTGCTGGGCTTGCACAACAATGCAACATTAAAACAAAAATAATCACAGCCTCCAAGTGCTGTTGCAACTGAGAAAAGTCATAATTCAGTGAAAGATGTGTGCACAGAGCAGTTACACAATATTATTACTTTAGAAACAAGGCAGTTTAATTAAACATTTAGGAGAGGTAATTGAATTATCACCAAAAGGCAAGTAAGGACCTCTAGGGAATGGTATAATTGGTACTAAAAGGAGTCAAATGATGCAATAAACCCTCAACTGAAAAGGCAGCAAGTGCAGAGGAAAACTGCCACTTGATTTCCTCTACAGAAACACGTAAAAAAAAAAATTGCACCCTAAGTTTGTCCATGCAGGTCCACTCCTCTTACAGAGATATTAATAAAAAAAAGAGTTGGTCCTTCAAGTAGATGGTCTAATAGAATTTAACACTTTATATTTTATAGAGTAGTCTGTTCAATTTCTACTGGTATTTTTTTTTCAGTCATATTAATGTTACATAAAATGCTTAGATACTAGATATTAAAAGAACAAGCAAGATCTTGAAAATTTTGTCTTTTTGAAAATAGAAAAACTTAGAGCAAAACAACAGCTGAAAATACTACCTAAAAACCTCTACCTTTATCACAGAAAAGTTCAACATTATAAAACTGTTTGCCCTTCAAGGAAAAACTTAGAGCAAAACAACAGCTGAAAATACTACCTAAAAACCTCTACCTTTATCACAGAAAAGTTCAACATTATAAAACTGTTTGCCCTCAACATTATAAAACTGTTTGCCCTTCAAACAAGCACAGATACTGGTTTCTAATCTCTAAGAAACAAGAATTTTTTAGAACACATTTCTTGCAGGCAAAGGCCTAGCTGACTTAGCTTTAGAACCGAGTTTAACTTCCTCTTTTATTTTGCCAGTAGTTCTAAAGCTTGCAGACACAATCTTTAGAACAATTTCCTCTCTGTTTTTTTTTATTACAAAAAGGGAGCTTATATATTAAGTAACTACACATTTTTTAAGAACATAAACTAAGCCCAGAAGTTCTTTTTTGTGTACTGAGAGTTACAAACTTTTGCCCTTTTCCCAAATCAGTTCATTTTATACCCACATTTCATGTCACTTTTTAATACCACTACTAAGTTGGGGTAGAGGGGGGAAAAAAGACAGGAGGCAAAATAAATTATTTTGTGCTTACCTAAATAGAAAGGAAACAATGTTAGCTATTTTTGCCAGGTCACCAGCATTAATCTCAATCCCAGATGTTTGCATTCTCTAGAAACAGAATGTTCAAACAATTAAAAATAATAATGAATTATGTATTAATAAAAACCTCTTTGTATGTATGTGTGCAAAAAATATTTACTTGGGGAATCTATGCTTTACAGCATATACAGCTAATATACCTGCTTATAAGTGCTAGTATCCAAACTTACCTGACATAGTTCAGCTGTATTTACACCCGGGATCTTACGGTTCAGATGTTGAATTATTTGTTCACACTGAAAAGAAAGTTGGACAAAAATGTTCTTAATGCATATTTTAATATACAAGACAAAGGTAGTTTGGATATTTAAGTCATTACAAAACAAAAAAGAAAACTGGTTAATGCAAAAACGGACAACAGGAGGATGCTTTAAATGCAGAGTGAAGAATAAAGTCATTGAACTTACTGATCTAAAAGTTACATCACATCCAAGAAAAGCAAACAAACTCAGTCAAGCCTTTTAGTTAACACCTCACTAGCTATTCCTATGCAACACACCATTTTAATGCTAATTTCACAGTCATCCTGTTCAAGTGTACACTGTTGTAAAGAAGCTGAATATTTTCTAGACAAGCTGGCTTGATATCCTTCAGATTAAAGGCAAAAATACATTTTTTTGTGATAAAAACATAGATTTAAGGCAATCTCATTGTTCTTAGCAGGACTGGTCGATTTTATGAGTCATGTAAATATCAGTTACTACACACATAAGATTCCCTTTGCAACAGGCAAAAACCAGAAGAGCTTAAACAAAAAGGTTTCCTAGAATCAAAGCGTGCCAGAAGCCCTTACACATCCTATTTATTGCTCTACTTACCAGTTCTGCAAAAAAGTCTTGAGGTATTAAATTAATCTTATCTGCTGCATCACCATCAGCTGAAAAAACACAAGCAGTAGTGATAAGAAGCAAATTGTGCAAAGTGTTACAAAAAATAACAAATCTCATCCCTCTCTGAAGAATTCCTAGGTCATCATGCATGCATTTACCTTAAAAGCAAAGCTTTTTTTAGGGGAGTTTGTCCTGAATTGAATTAACAAGTTCCACCAAGAGCAGTTTATACTGGATATTAGGAAGAATTTCTTTACTGAAAGGGTTCTCAGGCATTGGAAGGGGTTGCCCAGGGCAGTGGTGGAGTCCCCATCCCTGGAGGTATTTAAGAGTCATGTAGACATAGTGCTGAGGGACATAGTTTAGTGGGGACTTGTCCGTGTGAGGTTAATGATTGGACTCAATGATCTTAAAGGTCTTTTCCAATCGAGGCAATTCTATGTGATTCTGTAATAACTCGCTCAGCATCCCAAGGAAAGCCGAACTGGAGCGACTCCCTGAGGCCTCAGAGCCGCAGACCGAGTCTCTGCAATAAAACAGTTTGACAGCCCTGAGTAACTCCCCGGCCCCGTGGAGCAGTGGCCGCACCAAGCCGCTCCGCTCACC